CTTATATGTTGAACTTGGAGAGTACTTTGTTGATGTACTCAGCCTGTGATAACCTCAAAGTCCCCGACTTTGTGTCTCTCTTGATCCCATCCCAAGAATCGTTTTGCAGCGCCCAAATCTTTCATAGCAAATTGCTTCGATAATTTTTACTTCAAGTTTATAATCTCTTGCATGTCTGAGCCTGCAACGAGCATGTCATCAATACAACAATAAATAACGAAGTTGTCGTCGAACCTCTTGATGTAGCAACAATGATCGCTTGGCATCTGGTAAAACCACTTCTACTCATGAAGTTATCGAACTTCTTGTACCACTGTCTAGGAGCTTGTTTTAAACCATACAAGCTCTTCTTCAACCTGTATACCAGTTTTTTTGTCTGCCTCTATGAAGCCTTCTGGCTGCCTCATATAGATTTCTTCCTCCAAATCACCATGAAGGAAAGCTGTCTTTACATCTAACTGCTCAAGATGTAAAATCTCTGCAGCTACAATTTTCAACACCAGTCTGATTGTAGACAATTTTACGACTGGAGAGAAAATTTCATTGTAGTCAATACATTCTTTTTGCTGAAAGCCTTTGACAACCAATCTTTCTTTGTAGCGTTTGCTCCCATCGTGCTCTTCTTTGATCCTGTAAATCCACTTGTTATGGAGCACTTTCTTGTCTGTGGTAATTCAGCTAATTCTCACGTCTGATTTGATATAAACAAGTCCATCTCATCTTCATGGAAGACTCCCACTTGACTGAATCCTCTACTTGCATTGCTTCATCATAGCACTCTGGTTCACCATTTGTCAGTCAGTAACAAGTAGTGCAAAGAAGGAGAATAACGTTGGATGGTTTAGGAATTCTGGAGGAGCGTTAGTTTTGGTGTACCTAGTTCTTCTTGAACTGCTTCAGGACTGATTTGAACATCATTTCCAGAAATCTCCTCGAACTCAGCAAATTCCTTTGTTTTATCTTTGATATTTGAGCTACTTGATTCTATGGTTGACCTGTCTTTGTACATCATTTCTCATTGAAAATTACATCTCTACTTCTGATGATCTTCCGATTTTCGTAGTCCCAAATCGATAACCGAACTCATCACCACCATAACCAACAAAGGCACATTTGTTGACTTAGCATCAAGTTACTTCTTTCAGAAGAGTCTATGTGTAGATAAGAAATACAACCAAACACTCTTAAGTGTGAAAGGTTTATTTCTTTCTTACTCCAAACTTCCTCCGGTATTCTGCAATCCAAAGGAACTGAGGGCCCATGGTTGACCAGGTAAGCTGCAGTTTGATAGCTTCCCCATAGAAATTTGGGCAGTCCGGCATGTATCCTCATGATCTAGCACGTTCATTCAGAGTTATGTTCATGCGCTCTGCTACGCCATTCTGCTGCGGTGTCATGGGAACTATTGTCATCTTGATCCCATTATTTGCGCAGAAATCTATGAATCTACGATTTCTGTACTCTCCTCCATTGTCAGACCTCAACCGCTTGCCTTTCAGACCAGTCTCATTTTCCACCATGGCCTTCCATTTTTTTGAAGGTATCAAAGACTTCTGATTTCTTCTTCTTCAGAAAATAAACTCACACATTCCTTGTAGAATCATCGATGAAGGTAACATAATATAATGAGCCTGCAAGAGATGGAACTGGAGATGGTCCTCATACATCAGTATGAATCAACTCTAACCTTTTTTCCTTGAGTGTCTTGCCAATCTTTGTAAAACTGACTTTCTTTTGTTTGCCAAAGATGCAATCCTCGCATAATCCGACATCTACATTCTTTAGATCCGACAACTTCCCTTTTGACAAAAGTGTCTTCATCACTTTCTCGCTCATATGGCCAAGCCTTTGGTGCCATAGGTTTGATTTTCCATCAGTATCTGCGGCTGTAATGATATTCTCTAAATTTGAGGTTACATAGAGAGTACCAGTTTTCTTACCACGAGCAATGACGAGTGCTCATTTGGTAATCTTCCATTCACAGCCTGAAAAGGTTGTGCTATATCATTCTTCATCAAGCTGTCCAACAGAAATCAAATTTCTTTTGAGACCTGGAATATGTCTCACACCTTTCAGCGTCCAGGTGGTCTGGTTTGGCAACTTTAGTCGGATGTCTCCTCTTTCGACGATCTTCAAGGTTTCATCATCAGCTAGATGAACCTTCCCAAAATCATCACTGACATTATTCTCTATGAATTCTCGGCAAGGGGTGGAGTGGAAAGATGCTCCTGAATCCAAGATCCATGATTCAATCAGACTATTAACGCTTAGAATCATGGCATCACCTATCTCCTCTGTCACGTTGGCAGATTCCTGTACGCCAGTATTTTTCTTCGGTGCTCGGCAATCTATTTTAAAGTGACCCTTCCTGCCGTAGTTATAACAGGTAAAATATTTATTTCCCGTTCTTGATTTTCCCCTTATGGATTTGGATCTGTCACGATTTGAATTTCTTTCTGAAGTTATCCCTTTGGACTCCGTGTACAAGGCTGAGGAGGTTGGTGCTTCACCCAATTCTCTCCGTCGAATTTCTTCGCTTAGTACCAGATCCCGAATATCGTCGAATTTCAATTTACTATTTCTTTACGAGCTGCTAACTGTTGTAACAGTAGCATTCCAACTGTCTGGATCGTCGAAGTTCATTCAGGTATTGAGCCATTGATGCCCCTTTCGCCATCCGCAAATTGAATAATTGTCTCATCAAGTGGACTTTGTTTGAGGCTGATGGCTCCTCATACATACTAGAGAGAGCTGCCATAAGACCCGCCATGGTCTTTTCCTTTGCTATGTTGAAAGCAACATTGCGAGATAACGTCAGCCGGATAACTCCGAGGGCTTGTCTGTCGAGAAGAGCCCAATCTTCATTCTTCATGCCCTCTGGTTGCTTTCTTGAGAGAGGTTGATATAGATTTTTCTGGTACAGAAAATCTTCAATCTGCATCTTCCTAAAGCCAAAGTCTGCACCATCAAACTTTTCAATTTTCACCTTCCATTCGTCTGCAGCCATCGCTCCCACTCGAATCTGGCTTTGTTTAGATCGTTTCTGACAATTATTGCGAACCACCGTGTATTAGAACACCTCCATCGACAAATTCGTATCGCCGACAAAATTTTACTATTCACGAAATTCACTATTAATGTGAATAGTAACATCGCAAAAAATTGACAAAATTCACAACCAAAAGCTCTAATTACCAGTTGTTGGGAAATAAACCGAGTACAAGTAATTTCCCTATAACCAGATTTGTAAGAATGCAAAATAAAAGTGGAAAAATAATACCCGAAATTGATAACGGAGTTCAGCCAATTTTGCCTATGTCTCCGGACTGCTGTAGATCTTTTACTAAAGAGAAAATTTATAGGTGTTTACACAACACACTTGAGAGAGAACTAAAAGATTTTGGGATGATTTTGAAGCTAAATGGGCTAGGGTATTTATAGTTAAAGCTTAAGAACTAATCTTGTAAATACCATAAAGTATGCAATGGCTAAAATGTAATTAACCCATTTTTAATTTCAATAAACAATTGGGGCACCGAATTCGGTGCCCACCCGTTTTGAAATATGCATTTGCGGTGCTTCCTTTTCTGAAAAATAAGCCCCCGAACATTTTTTGTTGACTTTTCTTCCAACAGATGGGGTTGTAAATTGAGATTAGAGTTTAGAAGTAAAATTTAAAAATTATAATTTTTTTATTTTATTTTAAATATTACTTGTCATATTTAAGTATTAACAAAAATACATATTATTATTATTATTATATATTAATAAAATAAGCTACGTCATTTGGTTGTTAGAGAGAAAATGATCAAGTGACTACAAAGATTTTAATCTATAAAATTTAGAAAAGGAAAATGAATGAAATAGGAGAGTTAATAAAGTTCAATGAGTAAATTTGTAGTTTATCCTATTAAACATCACTATTTTCTTAAAAGAAAAGCAGTAGAACAGTAAAAAAATACAAGGAAAACAAAACCCTAAATTAATAAACTTATACAAGTATCAACTTGTATAAGAGATGTTCATAAATCGAATTTGATTTATATAGAAATTGTACATTTTGTATTTGTTTAAGTATAATTTGAATCAAAATTTATGTCTCAAATTTTATGCAGTGTTATTTGTATTTATAAATGATTAGATCGAATATATTTTTGTTCACTCATATTATTTTTAATTTATTTCAGAGATAATTGCATATGATATCCCCAAAATATGACATATATTCTAGAATGATCTCTAAACTTTAAAATATTTCATATTAATTTTCATACTTTTAATATCATTCCATTTTAATCCATATGTTAATTTGTTGTTAACTCTAATATGTTTTGTAGGTCCTATAAATTGAAGCCATGAACTTTTTTTTATAAAAAAATAGGACTCTCAAAATAAATTAAATTATTTTAAAAGATCGCAAGTTAAATTTCTACGATATTAAAAAATAAATTTAACTTTTAGAAGGTTGTGAGGACCTTAAAAAATTAGTAGAGTTAACGACTCGTTAATTAAAGGGGCAAAATATAATGATATTAATAGTTTTTTTAATAGAAATGAAAAAAATATTACATTATGTTATTAATTACGGGAGACATGAATATCTCTAGAAACACAAACTTCCTTTATTTTATTATGTAATTATTTTTTTTAAATATTTAATTTATTTTTAATTTAATATTTGATAGTTTTAGATAATAATAATTATATAATATTTTAAAATAAGATAATAAATATATTATAAATATAAAAATTAAATCGGACCAAGTTTCAACCTTTAATATTAAATTTGAGCTCAACTCATTTTCTAAATACACTTTTTTTTACTTTAAACCTATTTCCTAAACCTAATCCTTTTACCTAAATATTCCCAAATTTTTGCACTAGCGTTTGAATTTGTACGAGTAACAGTGTTACGTACATCACCAATCAAAGCCTTGACCATCCTTTTTATACTCGTATCCTCACTCGCGCACTCACTCATTCACTCCCGGATTTAACTCTCTCTTGCTCGCTCGCTTTCCAGAGTAGCCCACAGAGAAAATCGAAAACCTCACTCTCTCGAATCTATTCGAAACAGCTTTGCAAATATTATTCTCTTGCTTACCGCCGCCATTAATGCTTATCAGCAACATACTGTGAATAGAGGCCGATCTCTCTCTCTTTGCTCTTTTTTTTCACGGACTTCCAAGAAGCCAGCAACCAAAACAAAAATTCTCCAAACATTTTCTTCGTTAACTGTCGAAAATGGACCTGAGTAAAGTAACTTTGGAGATATTCACAAAACTTGAGCAGAAATGGCTATCTCACTGTGAAACCACCAAGAAGGTTCGGATCCTCAGCATTGACGGTGGTGGAACCACCGGCATTGTCGCCGGTGCCGCTCTTATACACCTTGAAGACCAGATCCGCCTCAAAACTGGTGATCCTCGAGCTCAAATTGCCGATTTCTTTGACATGATAGCCGGCACTAGCGTCGGTGCTATTATTGCCGCCATGCTCTCTGCCGACGATGGAACTGGTCATCCGCTTTTTACTGCTAGAGAAGCTGTCAGGTTTATCACTCAGAATAACTCCAAACTCTTCAAAGTTAATAAGCTTGCCGGAGTTCTTCACCGTCAGAAGAGATTCTCCTGTAAGAGCATGGATAAGGTGCTGAAGGAAACGTTCAGGAGAGAAGACGAGACGGTTTTGACACTGAAGGACACGTGTAAGCCTCTCCTGGTTCCTTGCTTCGACCTCAAGAGTTCCTCTCCCTTTGTTTTCTCTCGTGCCGACGCTTCCCAATCACCAAGCTTCAACTTCGAGCTTTGGAAAGTATGTCGAGCCACGTCAGCCACTCCAAGCCTCTTCAAACCTTTCCCATTGACATCCGTCGACGGCAAGACCTCTTGCTCCGCCGTGGACGGCGGTTTGGTCATGAACAATCCTTCCGCCGCTGCAATCACGCACGTTCTCCATAACAAGAGGGATTTCCCGTCGGTCAATGGGGTGGAGGATCTGCTGGTTTTGTCTTTAGGAAACGGTCCATGGTGTGGAAGGTCAAAGGTTGTTAACAACGGCAAATGCTCAACTTCTTCAGTCGTTGACATTGTGCTCGACGGTGTATCGGAGACCGTAGACCAGATGTTGGGGAACGCTTTCTGTTGGAACCGTGCAGACTACGTCAGAATCCAGGTATCCACATCATTATATTTAAACTACGGTTAAATAAGTTGGACTGCATTAAAGCATTTGTTTTATTAAAAATTTCCTTCGTATTTCTCAAAAGCCAAAAACATGGAGTATTTAAACGTGTTTAATCTTTTTCGGATTTCGTGATCCGTATTCGACGTGCAGGCAAACGGACTGGGGAGTGAAACGATGGTTGGGCCGAGAATAGAGGATTTGCTGAATGAAAGAGGAGTGGAGTCTTTACCGTTTGGCGGGAAGCAGTTACTGACGGAAACCAACGCACAGAGAATTGAGGGCTTTGTCCAACGCCTTGTTGCCTCCGGGAAAACCAACCTTCCTCCAAGTCCCCACAAAGATTCAGCCGTCAGTCCGCTTGCCAACGGCCGTTAAACAACTATTTTCCCTTTTGTTTTTCCTCTTTTAACCCGTTGTAAGTTGTAACCAACCGAACGGACCGACTCCTCGATTTTTATTTTTAACTGTCCCCCCTTTGAAGTTTAAAGAGTAGAATAATAATGTCTCCGTTGTGGCCGAAAGAATTAATGTAGATTAATTAGTACCAAGTATTATTAGCAAAACTAACTTTTGTCTGGTGGACGCTATGCCCAAATCTATGAATATGTTTTTCGGTTGTTCCCTTTGAAAGAAAAGAATGTCATGCGCTGCTATTCGATTGCCTTATTACGTGTTACTGCACCTTCAAAGTTCGTTAGCCCAATGTTTAACATTAAGATGAAGGAATTTCTTAGCATTGAGGTAAGTAGCAGATGAACAGAGCAACTACCATGACGACTAGGCAGCGGCAAACAAAGCCACGGGATACGAGTAGGTGACCGGGGTGGGGGCACTGTACTAGTCGAGCATTAAATTGAATTTACCTTTTAACCATCCCTTTTGTAAACGTTGGGATGCAAACTGAAGAATAGACATGGAATGTGAATCAAATGCTCTTCATCCGTTGATGGATATCCACACTTGTCAATGCCAAATAATTTCTTTAAAGAAACAGTAACCATCAACCACAAAAAGTTGGGAGAAAGAGAAACCGACTTTTTCCCTAACTGGTTTTATTTTATTTATTTATAGATGTTCCTCTGGATTTTCTCTGCTCCTCTTTTGGTAGGTAAGTTTGGTGGAAGATTGCAACATGTACTTTTCTCTCCTTTCCACACGCACCGTTTGTGTTGGCATGGTGAGATTATCCCTATGTTCACTTACTTGCATTGATAACTTTATGGCAGTGGTTTAGTTTTTATTGATGAACCAAAAATAAAATAATAAATAGTTCGATATAAAATCTTTTTAATTATCATGTGTTGAATTCAAGTTTTCTTTTTCTTTTCTTTTTTAATTTTAATTTATTTTAATGTTCAAATAGACCCTGAACGAATAATCCCATCTCTCACGGACCTGCCCCTAACTTAACCCCTACGTCTTTAGGGTAAAAAAAAGTGTGATGAGGACATGCACGGAGCACACTGGTAAAAAAAAAATAGAGTTGGGGATTATATTATACCCTAGGGAAGCTCCAAAGTTGGCATGTAGTATTTTAACTTTAGCTTTTAACCTTGCTTGGAATTAACAATATGGTTGAATAAGCAATTGTCGTAGATTTTTTTCATCCACCTTCAATTGAATTATTTTAAGTGGGAATTTGTTTTCTTCTTTTGGTAAAGCAGATTCCATCACCCTTTTTTTCCCCTTAAATATATATAATCTTAAGAAACTAATTTCCACCGGGGTCCCAATTTGATTAAGTTGTCCAACATCATGAAATAAAAAGTAAAGGATAGGGGAATCCAGGGTTTAATCGTCCATATATAGCCTATCGAACAAGCTACGCCCCCATTCGTATTTTTTTTAATTGATGAAGACCACGTAATCTAAGAATTTCTAATTTGATTAGTGCCACCAAATTATTAGTAGTGGAAGAAACTGGATTAAAACGCGTAATAATTCCTGATTTATTACTTCTAATTATTAGCGTGCATTGCATGCTTGGGAAATACTCCAGTGGCTTAATTACGTTATACATTTAATTAAGGAATTGGTCAATTTAATTGTAACAAGCAAGCGTTTAATTATGTGTACCATGCACGCTAGGTTCACTTACAAGTCAGGACCATGTTAAGCCCTTTGGTGCCATCGACAACGTACTTCTAGCGGTAGCTGTTAGAAGTTTAATTTGTCCTAACTACTTTTTTTAACGATTTTTAATCATAAATTATACAAATAATAAAAAATAATATAAAGTTGAACGTAATTTTTAGTTGATATTTTCTTAATAATATTTAGTATATGATTTATTGATCAATTAATTTGGATCAATTATTGCAAACATTTATTATGAAGGTGATTGTTCTATTTACAATATCAATATTTAAACTCCTAATATTAATTTTATTTTTTTAGTCGGATTCTGAATGTATATTTTATAAAATTTAATTATTTAAAATATTTATGATAAACATTTAAATAAAAAAAATAACTATATTAATAAGGGATAACTTTAATTAGACGGAAAAATATAATTTCAATTATTATTTACACGTCTTTTATTTTTTTCGATGAATATTTAGACATCTTTTAATTTAGGTGAACAAAATAAAAAACTTAAAAGTTGAACGACCAACTGTATAAGTTACGCTAATTAAAATTGTCAATGATTAGTTTTTTTTAGTAATGTTAATGATAAGTTGAATCAATCTCACGAGTCTCAATGTACGGGCGATAACTGAACTAATTTATTGGGGTTGAATGTTGTTTGTTGACCAAATTAAATCCAAGTAGGTCGATTTACAATTTACAGTTGTAAATAAATTTGGGGTAAAGTTAAAAAAAATATTTATTAAATCATATTAAAATACTTCTTTTAATATTAAACATATAAAAATTATATAATAAATATTAAATATAATTATAAATATATATTACGTCATTAGTTGCTATTATTTGACGTTAACACAATCACATAACATACTAAATTAAAAATATATAAATTATAACATTAAATCTTTTTATAATTTCAGAAAGAGAAAATAACCTCAGTGACCAAAAATCCCATATAATATACGATTTTAACCAACTTTTTCCGGATTTGCCAAAATGACCAACAAAATCGCAATGCAATCGCTAATTCGCAACGCGATCTCCATTATCGCAAATTCGCGTTGCATTTTCGCAATGCGATAGTTGAAAATCACGTTGCGATGGTCTACAGTATCGTTGCGATTTTCCCAATTCGCAATGCGAATAAGTAAATCGCAACGCGAATTGGGAAATTCGCAATGCGAATAAGTAAATCGCAACGCGAATTGAGAAAATCGCAATGCGATACTGACTATCGCAATGCGATAATAAAAAATCGCAACGAGATACTTACTTTCGCAACGCGATACTGACTTTCGCAACGCGATAATACATAATCGCAATGCGATTTTCAAAGCGCCATTAGTATCCTGGCCAAGTATTTTATTTTTAAATTCCAAACATGAATATAAATATATTGGAACACTGAACTGTCCACAGTATATCCCGTAATCGCAACTCATAACCTAAAACCTAAAATCACAACTCAGTCCCATCTCCATCTCTCACTCTCTCACCCATCTCCGACGAAATCCGTCCCCATCTCCGGCGAAATCCGTCTATCTAAATCTCTCAGAGCCACCCTCACAATCAGAAATGGAAAATCAACCAAATAAACCAACGAGGGTTAGTTTTTTTAATTATTTTCTTTTTGAAATTTTTGCATTATTATTAGGTTTTTCATATTGAAATTGATGATAGGTTTACTGGTAATTTCAATAATAGATTAACCATTTCACTTAGATTGCTTATTAAATCAACCAAGAATCGCAACGCGAAATGCAAATCGCAACGCGATTTTAGTTTCGCGTTGCGATTCTCTCGTTGCGATAGTCATTTTCGTGTTGCGATTTTCATTTTCAGAAACTATTCTTCTTCTGCAAATTGAAACTTGAATGAATTGCATTACTTCAACCAAAAAACAAAGACAAATACGAAATTCACAGTGTTGCATATTTAAGTTTGAAGAATAAACTACTACTATTTATGTTTATTATTGTTTTTGGTATATCTTCAGAGTGTAGTTTTTGGTATATCTAATTTAGTATGTTTATTGTTTTTGTAGAACTTTTATTCGGCTCAATTGACCTTGAGAAATAAAGTCAGCCTGGCCAAAACAATTGCGTCGAAGCTTTCACCTGCACAAAGAAAAATGTTTGAGGATACATGCTTCGGGCCATGGCTGAAAGTACAACATCCCGGTGGAGATGCGATGTTGACACACCTGTTTCTTCAAACCATGACTAGAGATCTACCAGAGACTATACAACGTCGTGATGAAGAGATATGGTTTGATTTTCCACCGGCGTATACGTGTTTTGGGCGGGAGGAGTTTTGCTTAATCACGGTCTACGCTTCGGACACGATGATGTAGGTCGGTACACTAGACACATTACCCGCCCATCATGGCTATCCCGGGTTTTTCCTGAGCTGGAGAGGCCGAGTCTACACGTAGAAGACCTGACAAGATTTTTGAATAATAAAGATGGTTTTACTCGGATGGATGACGTCGACGTTATCCGAGTATGCCTTCTAATTCTTTTGCATGCCGGCTTTTTAGGCAGAGAGGCCAGACAACCTATTCCAAATGATCTAATCAAATTGGTAGAAGACCTAAATGCGTGGAACCTGTTTCCGTGGGGCTCGTATTTATGGAAAGCTACATGGAATAAGTTATCGTCTGCCTTGGATGATCGAAAAAGTTTGCATGGTGATGGTTCCAAATACACTTTGACAGGCTTTATTTGGGCCTTTAAGGTAAGAATTTTTATATAATGTTTCCAAAATTATAAGTAATTATTTAACAATTACTAATGTTTGTTATTATATTGTTTGTAGATTTGGATATTTGAGGCCTTTCCCGCCATGAAGACATATGCAATAAAAACTTCAAATAATATTCCCAGGGCTATTCCTGGAAGAGGAAACGAACCTTGCAATGGGAAGATTTACTACGGTATACGACAATAAATAATGTAAGTTAACATAAATACTACCATATGTTTATAAACAAGTTATTACTAGTACACATTTAACTTTGTTTAAGCTTTATATTGTTAGGAGGCCAACACTCCTCTACAGAGGCTGACACCCACGGAAGCTGAGCTTGCCACTGATTGGTGGCAAGCTAGTAAGCGTTTTTTTTTGATGGAACGGTTGATGAGCAGCCTCCACTTCGGGAGCCATCACATCGCCCAGAGCTATCACCTCACCTAGAGCCATCATCTGATCGACCCGGCTATACACCTCCACAACGACAGCCATCACCTATTCTTTCACATCATCGAGCCTCTTCTCCACCATCACCGCAAGATAGGCGACCGGCAAAGATGTCACGACGTTTATCTCCCTGTTCTCCACCTCCACCTCAACGGGATGAGTTAGGGGAGTTACGTGATGAGGTCAATGCCTTGCGTGAGGAGGTCGGTACTTTACGCAAAGACGATGGTGCATGGCGTGTTGAGGTGTCTACATTACGCGGTGAGGTAGCCGCTCTACGTGAGATGGTAGCATCGTTGCAGAATGAGGTTCATACTC